TGCATGCAGTAGGGCTCAATAGGTGTTTATTAAATAAATGGATGATGTGCTACTTTCTATCCTAAATATTAATCCACATCTCAAAAGTATCTGTATTCAACAAAACAAAAAAGTAAACAACTTAACACTCATAACTGAGCTATTACAGATTAAAACTCCCCCTTGCTCTTTCTCTTTCTTGTGGGAAGAGGATTGGGTACAGATTACTGCCCTCTGACATGCCTCCATAGCAGCTGACTCTGGGAAAGCTTCTTGGAGAAATCTTTTTAAAAAGAATAAGCAATAGAATGAGGCCATCAAATTCCCAAAGACTTGTATTTTTCAAATTTCCCAACATCTGGATTTAGTTTAGTCTCTCAACAAATGTTGCCTGAGTGCCTACTACATGCTAGGCACCAGGAAATTCAGTGAATAAGCATTAGCAGATGCTGTTGTCATGGAGAGTGCATTCCAGCCAGAGGAGAGCATTAACAAACAAGGATGTAAGCGTGTCCCCAGTGATAAGTGCTAAGAACAAGAACAAAGCTCACAGAAGGGGTGGAGAGCTTGGGGTGGGGTGGGGCTTCTGTTCTAGATACCTTGGTTAGGGAAGGACAGATAAACTGAGCCCTAGGAAAGAAATGTTTGGGCAGAGAGTACTGCCGTGGGCTTAGTTATGGTCCCCTTAACCTTTCACCCCAACTCAGGGGTAAGTGGGAAGTGGGGGTCATTGTGCTTTGTGAATGCAAACATCAGCCCAACCAAGAAACCTGTCGCCCTGTAAACGTTATGATATGTAGCTTAGATAATAGCTGGAAAAATAACTCTTCAATTGTAACTAGAAGACAGTTTTTGCAGGTGACTTTAAAATGAAACAACTTCCATTATTCAAAAATCCAGAGTGGCAACCAGCTCTTAGAAATGACTAAAATGACCTACTGGTATTCCTTCCTTTTTTTTTTTTTATTTAATGGAGACTTTTGCTTTCCTGCTGAGACCATGTATTATATCTAGTTTCACATAAAAATGAATTTTTGCTGCTAAGTTTGAAAACTGCCTGAAAATAGCAATTAATTTTGGAAAAGCTGACAGAACCATAAGTGTAGTGGCATGATTGGTGCTGCTATAATTATGTGCCTGAGTGTGTACATGTCTGTGTAAACAGAGTATGAAAACACTCTTTATGTCCAGGACAGTATATCAGTGCCTTTTATTTCAGGTGAATGGGGGAGAAAGAAATGATAGAATTTTTATAGCACTTTTGGGTGGTCTGGATTTTTCTAATCTGACATCTGTACTCTCTTGTTTTTCAAATTATTTTCACATTCACCACCTCATTTGCTCCTCACAAGTTGCTGGAGGGAAGAAAAAAGAAAAGGCAGGGGAGCTTTGTTCTTTTCATTTGATGGATGACAAAACTCAGTGGGTCCGCTAGGAGGGCCGAAGGAGTAGATTGGGCTATGTCATCTCCAAGGTACCTTCTAGCTCAACAGTTCAATGACTTTTGATGATTCTGTTTGATTGTCCTTGGGCGCTGCAGCTGTTTAATGGTAGAGACTCCCTTTAAATCCAGGATCCTTTTGACCACACAGTTCCTCCTTATTTTCTTTAAACCCTTCACTGCTCGCTTAATCATCTGCAAAATGGAATGTCTACGGTACAACATAGTGGAGAAGATCACTGAGGGGACCAAGGGGAGGGATTGTGAAGCACCGTGCACGGTGGTAGCTGTCATTATCATCATCATCATCATCATCACCACCACCACCACCACCACCGTTAGTAATAAGGAGACAATGTAACATAGCAGAAAGAGGTTAGTGTTGAAATGGGAGGATGAGCTTCTAATCCTTTACTGGTTGTGTCACCTTACCAATTATCCACCCTTTCCGAGCATCCTATAAAATGGACCTGAGAATATCTGCAGTGGAAGGTGGTATAGACTAAAGGAGACGCTGTGTGTCTGGATGCTTAGCCCATGGTCTCATACATTCCAGTTGCCCGATAAATGACCCATAAGTATGAGTGATAATCTTTCAAAAGGAACAAAAATATTGTTTCATGATTCCTTCAAAACCAAAGTGGCATTTCACAGAAATGAAATGTAACTTAGAATTAACAGAAGCACGCAGCCATCTTTTTTTAAAATGTAGGAAGAAAATAAGGTTCAGAAGTTTGACTGCTCTGTGTGTACATGTGGTGGGGGGGGAACTGCACATACCAGTAGTTAGCAGATAGTCATTATGGAGTTCCATGTCAGATGGCCTTCTAAGGTCCAGTGTGTATTTTATTCGATTCATCCACTCTCCTCACTGCAACAGTCTAAAAAAGACTGTGTGGCGATTTAGATCAGCCTGTTTACCCTCATTGCACCACATTCTTTGAAAAGCAGCCTTTCAATGGCTGTGATGAACTACTTTCCTATAGTGAAGACCATTATGAGGGATTCAATGAAGTTAGAAACTAAAAGCCTGTCACCTTGTGTCTCTAGCAAGGGAGTCACGAAAAGGGCTGGTGACAGGACAGAAATGTGAAAGTGCTCCAGTAGGGATTGTGATTTCTCCTCCCTTTGGACAATTTCTTGGTTCTGAATTTTCAGGGCATCGTAAATTAATATTTATAGGCATCTGTAGCCACATACTTTGGAGCTTTGTTGGTGGGTGCAAAGGAGTCACAGGTGAGTGGGTCTGCCCCAGATCTAATCAGTGGTTTAAACCATCAGACCTGAGATGGTGTGTATTGTTCAGAATGCTAACTTTCAATCACATTTTGTTTATTATGTGCCTTGTTTTAAAAGTATAAAACTGGCCATTTGAATGTGAAATATCTATATCTCTATATATGTATTTTTTTCCTTGTTTGATGTATAGCTATCCTTGAAATTGTCCTTGAATGCCCCTCCTGTGTGGATATCTCTAGAACAATTGAGTTTCCCTGAGAGAAGTATGTTAAGTGCTTTGACCAATGTCTATTATGTTTTGTTGCCTTCCAGTTTTAAAATGCGTGAATTTCTATTTTAATGTTCTAGGGAAAAGCAATGGTGTTCGCCCCACACCGAGGGAATACTTTAAACCAGTTTTGCAATCTAGCTGAAAAAGCTGGTTTCTCTCTCCAAAGACATGAAAATTATGATGAACACATTTCAAACTTCCACTCCAAGGTTAGTTTTCTGCTTGTGTTAGATAACACTTTAATCCGCATTGCATTTTGAAGAGATCATGGTCTTTTTGGCAGGTAACCTAAATATTTGATTAAAGTACTCCTTAGGTGTGTTGCTTCTGAACAGCTATTTGTATCTGATTATTTTGTGTGGTAAAGCCATCTTTTATCTTTGCATGTCTAGAAGGATTTTACAGAAACTGTTCCTGTTTACTCGGTTCTCTGAAACAAACTAATCTTTTCATTCATAATAGACTAATTTGTAAGATGCAAGAGGAGGTGGCATAGAATGAATGATAAACATGCATTTGTATTTTAATGAAAACCTTCGGCTTTTAAGTAGGTTAAATGCTTAGCTACACTGAAATAAATAGAAGGTGAGTGTCTAATTGTATCATGTTGGACTGTAAATCCTTATCTCTGCTTGCTTTATGGCTGGGTCAGTTGGCAGTTTGAGACTGTTAAATCTCATACAGAATTTCACAGTTGTGGGGTTATATGTCACATCGAGGCGCTACAAGATTTAGGTCAAAAGCACTTATCTGAGAGTGATTTCTAAGCCTGCTTACATAAAGCAATGTTATCAGCCTTTTTATTATTTATGGGTACAGGGCAATATAGGACACTAAGAGGCAAATGTTCCACAGAAAACTTTTTAGGATTCTCACATTTGTTAGTACATGTCCCAGTGACTAGTCTAACATGAATTACCTCTGTAATTCTGCACCTTACAGAAATCTCCCTTTGCTGAGCTACTATGACTTTGGCAAGAGACTTTGATTAGTCATGTTTTCACAAGTTATGGCTGCAGAAAAGCCAAAGCCTAGTCTTAATTTCCTCCTGGGACAATGTGAATAGCATTTTTTTTATTATTGCCCAGAACTGTGATATAATCTAGAAGTATTTTTACTCTTGAAAAATTATATACAAAATGAATCTGATCTTCCAAGTCAGAGAAAGGAAATTCTCACTTTCTGGAAAGGGGTTTATTCTTTGGGTGTCTAGGGCTCCCTTTAGTCCCTGCTTTGAGGGCTGGGGATGATGCTCTGCAACAGAAAGAGTTAAATTCATCATCGTCTAAGCAAGATCAGGCCCATTGCTCAGAGATTCAGAAAATAGAAACAGGCTTGGGCACGTAGCTCAGTGAAATACCACTTGTCTAACATGCTCAATGGCCCTGGGTTCGAATCCCAGCATTGCTAAAAAAAAAATAAAATAAAAGCTGGATAACACCTTACATGCTTCTCCAGCCTCATATCTTCCCCCTTTTCAGTTCCTCCTCAGAACAAAAGGAATGGCTCTGAGGGCTTCACCTAGTGTGGAAAGGCGTTTCCTGGCCTTTTGGGTTCCTGCACCCAAAGGGATAAGGTAGCCTTCTCTCCAAGGTTAGGCTGGAGCTACAGGGATCGTTGATGTCTGATTCACTGTCATGTCATTCACTTGTGCCCTAGAACAACAAATGCTTTTAGTTTCTCAGTGACAGCTCCAAAGAGCCAGGATATGGGTCTTTCTACCAGTACAGATGTTCAGCATGGCCCCTGAGACCTTCTGTCTCCTCCCCAAAACATGTGAAGTGTGTTGAGACATGCGAGGCATTTATGTCCTTGGTGCCACCTCTCCTGTGTCTAGAACCTGAGTGTCAGTCCCTGGAGGATAGCAGCCTCCTCTTTTTATTTCCAGTGTGGCACACTACCCTGCTAAGCACAGCACATTCCACGAATCCCTGAGTGTGCCTCTTGCACACCATACCCATTTAGTACTCCATAAATAATCCCCAAGCTGAGTGCTTGGTCGCACAAAAATAAATTTGCATAAATAACTAAGTGACCTTCCTTTTTCACTCTTGATAATTGCTTAAAAGTCAAATTTCACACCTTGCTGACACTGGACTGAAAAAAACAGTCCTCTCTGTGTTATTGTGAGGGGGTCAAATTGGCATGTTGTGCTCAGGAAGTAGAACCCTAGGGGACTTCTCTGCAGAGTTAGGGTCCTCTGGTACAGGACACTCATGATATCTATCAGCATATATCATCTGGTTTGATGTCCTGCTTCTAGCAAAAGAATGTCTCTCCTCCCTGTTGTCCCTGCTCCAAACAGCAGGAAACTGCTGACCGGACAGAACCATGTCTGTCACCGGCTCCAGGTTGCACCAGAGTGGTCCTTTGCAAGAGAAGGATCTCGCCCAGAGGCCAGACAGGGAGCCACGCTGGAGGGAAAGGGGAGCGTCCCCAGCACACGCGAGCCCAAGTACCCTTCAGCAGGAGGCGCGGGGCAGAAGCCGAGGGCAGCACCCTGTCCCCCTGGCCGCTGCCCGCCGTCTGGGGCTCCGGACGGACGTGGAGACGTGGAGGGGCCGGCGCGGCCACCGGGAACCTCCACCCCGCGGCTTTGTTGGCCGCGTGCTAATAGCCAGGGCTTAAAAGTTTTCCATCTTGAGCGGCAATCAGCTTTCTTCCTCTCCATCTCTGGCCAAAGCCCCATGGTCCCTGGGACGCGCCTGCTCCCCAATGGAGGAGCCGCGTTTTCCTTGAGGCTGCGTGTTATCCTCTTAGCCCTACTGTGTTGGAATAGAGCGTAACCAGCTGGAGGACTGTAAGACGCCTGATAATGCCGCTCTTTTCCGCTGTCCCGTCTTAATCTTGTTACACAAATGGTTGTGAAGAGATTCATGAATTTTAATTTTGCCCTCTGCATTAGTGCCTCACGTCACTCATACACAGCTGCCTTCTATGCCGAGTTTTTCACCCCTCCTCTTACAACAGGGGAAAAAATTAGTTACAATCTTGGCAGTAGTGCAAGGTAAAAAAAAAAAAAATCTACAGATTTAGGCAACCACCCATGAAGCTGATTAACAGTCAGTGATCAGGAGGAACAGCTTTGCCTCTTAAACTTTTCACCTCTCATTGTTAACTGTGAAATTTTATTTCCGTTAAAAAGCAAGCCTGTAATCAAAACGGTGCCATTCTGCACTTTTCTGCCAGTGCTTTTGTTAAATGGTGCCCACACCATGCAGCCAGTGTGCTCAGGAACCGGGCAGCCAAAGGTGTAGTCTGTTTTTAAAATATTGCCTTTCTGTTCGTCCAGGCAACAGGAAGAAAAATAAAACACTTCCCTCTCCTCCCTGGCCCTTTGGTCGCCTCCAGGCTGGGAATGCAACTCACTGCCCCACAGGGTGGTGCAAAACCCTTAGGATGTTAAGACAGCAAATGGTTCAGCAAGGTAGAGAGGACTCGGAGATTACAGCTGGCTTGAAATTAGTTGATGAATATACCCTCATTCATACAAATATCCTTTTGAAAAATAATTTTACAAGCCATGGGTTGAGTTTTTTTTTTTTAACTTTTGCAAAACCCGCCGGCGTGTTTATTTTGTATATTTTTGTACTTAGCCATGAAAATAGGCTTGAGCTCAACTGTGAAGTCGGTACATTGTGTTAAAAGCACGGCCATATTGCACTTCTGCTTATCTATTCAAAATGCCACATTACAAGTGGCTGGTGCTTATAATCTGTATGGTGTGCTGTTGATAATTGTGGATACTGTAAAGGGTAAACAGTCTGAACTCCACTCCTGCTGCTCCTGTTCCCGCAGTAGTAAGGCTGAGCGTGTTACATCCAATTATGAAGTAAAGCATAATGCTACTAATAGCAGCTATATAATTTAGTTCGGTCCTCAAAGACCCTGTTTTAACCTATGAAATTGAAAAATTGTTTTATTCACAATTTGCTTTTTGTTCATTTTTTTTCCAGGTGCTTTTTCATTTCTTAAAATTATAATTATTAATTGGGCAAAGAAGTATAGGCTGGGTAAATGGAATTATTCTTGAACCTCATAACATTCCCCCCATCAAAGCAGGTATTTTCCATCAGATGGTGGCTGTTCAAGTACCCTCCCATAACACACTTGGTGATTCAGAAATGACCCGGTGCTGGGTTAGACTGTCGCCTCTAAGGCTGGTGGGCTCTTCCCCGTTGCTGGAAGGGCTCACAGTCAAGACAAGGCTGGCCCCCAGCCCCTTCCACCACCAAGCCTCCGCTTTAGCCTCCAGAGGTCAGCATAGAATTCAAGTTAAAAGTGATTTCCAACCCATATTTACAGAAGAATTATTTATCCCACATATTACCTCAGGGACTTTATAAAGAGCTCATTTGAGTCTCCGTATATTAGTGCATTGTGAGTGAGCAGGTCAGCTGACTCAGACTGAGTAATCAACTTTCCTTATCCCCAATCCCCAAGGAAAGAATGTAGCTAGCTTGGCCCCCTCTTCTCTCTGTAAAATATTTCAGTGAGTTCCCTCTATTTCTAGGGCGACTGGCAACAAAGGTGTTTACAGTTGGTAGATCCTGGCAAGTGGGCATGGATTGGGAAGTCCGTGAAGGCTTTTTCTCGGCATTTTAAAATAACTATTATTAGATTAAAGAGGGATGCTGAGTGAGGGACCTGTGTTTAGGATTAACACTGTCGATACTTTGGCGGCCACAAAATCCACAAGGCCTTTTCTAAATAGACAACTAATCATCTGTGAACAGAACAAACACCATCTAAGAAAACAGAATGAAGGCACTTTAGTGATTGTACCACCATCAGTTCTTAGGAAAGTGGATTAGAAAGTAGACTGGATTGGCTTTATGTTCCCCAGTAGGAAAGGAAAAGTGGGCTCATGGCTCCTGTCCTTAACAGTGAGGGCATGCCACAGTTTGGGAACGTGGCTTAGAAGAGACATGCACTTCAAAAAGATTCAGGCGGACCAACTCAGGAGAATATGATGTTGGAGCCATTCATATAGCTTTAGGGTAGGGGTGGGGATCTGTGACTGATTTGAAACAATAAAGGAATTGGTTCCATGTATAATTAAAATAAATGTTTATTTTCTGATCCTTATACGCTAAAAAAATGAATTAACAGTTGCCTTAAAAACACCAACTTCAAAAATATTGTCTTTACAAATAGCAAATTACTATTTGTGAAAATATAAATGTCACTGTCAAAATTATTCTAGGCAAATGAGGAGAAAAAAGTCCACATTAGGTTTGAGGATTTTGGCTTTTAAAATGTTATCACTTATGCTCAGAACTTCACCTGAGCAGTATCAAATGTTTCTGCTCTAATTGTCGGAATATGTTCTTCTCCTCAGAGAAAAGAATTTTTAAATCATCATTAATATTAAAACCCTAAGGAGCACCTGGAGAGCCTTCCAAATATCTCAGGCCCCAGAAGCCTGTCCCTGTGCCCAGGTGTTGCAAGGTCTCCAAACAGCGATCTGAAATGCCTGCCTGCCTGCCTGAATGGTGTGGTGCTTCTCAGGGAAAGGGAGGATCTAGAGCAGAAACTTCCATGCCCAGTGACTGGTATGGGGAGATGAAGGAGCCCAACTCTCCCTCCAATCACAAACATGCAGTTTGATTATTCATGAAAAAACACCTTACTCCCACCTAAAACAAAGCAAAACAATGAAATTGTGGATACTGTGAGCAGAGAAGACATTTCAGAGTTGCTATTTTTATGAAAAAAAGACTCCCATCTTCGTGTATAGTAGTTATGCCAATGCTATTGAGAACTAATTTGAGTTGCTTTTTTGTGATTAATTTTTCCACAACTATATATTTAGGTAAAAAGTCTTAAATATATTATAATCGACATTAATATCAACTGGTAAAAATTCCTAATCTGAATCTTCTTACCTTCTTTTTCTATTATTATTTACAGTTGAAAAAAGAAAACACAGATATCTATGAAGAAAACCTTCATTACCCCCTTCTGCTTATTTTAACCCAAAATGGATAGAAGAGTAAGCTTCTCAGAAGATGAAGAAAACATCTATTACCCAGGGAATAATAATGTATGAAAACAGGAATCTGCAATGGATATAATATGGTTCCCTGAGATTTTTGAGGCCCCAGGACTCAGGGCCCCCACCCAATCTTCTACATTCCACACATGGGCTTGGGTTAGGGACTACCCAGGCGTACCCACATCATCTCCAGCCATCTCCGCCTCCCTCCTTCACCTCCTCTTTTTACAGTCTGCTTGTTGCTTTTCTTATACCAAACCTTTGTTTGTCTTTAAATATGTATAAGCAGGCTGTCTGAGATTTGAATTTGACTTGTGAGCAACCTAAATATTTTTCCTTCTAAAACAGAATTTCTTTTGATGATTCCTCCCTCCCACCCCCCCCCTTTAAAAAAAAACAAAAACAGGTTTTTGTTGTTTTGGTGATGATAGTTTTTAATCTGTAAACATAGCAAACATCATGATTCTTTCCTGGTTAAAAATAAAATAAAATACATCTTTCTGCTCTCCCTCTAATAAATTCTATTAAATTTGCCATCTCTTTCTCTGTCTCCCTCTTCCTCTCTCATTCTTTTTTCCCCTTTAAACAGGATGTTTTTTTCCCTATAGATGTATAAGAAATGACTACATCAGCCCAAAGCCTCATAAACTGACCGTTTGTCCTCTGGACACAATAGCGTGGCCAGCCCTCTGCTCCTCCTCTCCAATTATGTGTGATTAGTCTCAGTGTGCTGTGTCAAGGAGGGGGAGTGTGCTGAGTGCTTATTATCTGTTTAGGTACAAGAAGAGCACATTTAGGCTCTGGCTATGAATGAAAAGTGAGCCTTTATCAGGGCTTAAATCTAACTGCTGCTGTTCTCCAGGCCTCTTTCAAAACAGGCCCTTTCCAGAGAAATTTTGAATCAATGGTTGATAAACTAGATTGCAACCAGGGGGAGTTTTAAAAAACTCAATCACACAATTATCTTATTTAAAATAAATATATATTGTTAGATGCTGTGATTCAAGAGTGTAGCAAACATTTAATAGGTGCTACCTAGGAGGAGGAGAAAAGGACTTTCCTACAGGGAGCCCAAGCCTGCCCTGCCCAATGCACCCCCAAGATGCTCTAATGCCTTTTGTGGAAATTCAGATGTTTATCTGTAAGGAATCATCTGTGCCCACTTTGGCAGTAATGTCATTAGGTAGGTTAGCTACATATCCTCATATCTTTAGCAGAAGCAAAGTGTGTTTTCAGTGTGATACAATTAAAGTCGTGGTGGGGGGTGCTGAGGGGTGCATCCTTTTGCATGTTAAACCAACTTAGCTGTCATAAAAATAGCGACTCTGAAATGTCTTCTCTGCTCACTTCTATCATCAAACAAAATTTTCACCATCAGTTTGCATGTCCTTGTGTTCCCCACTTCTTCTGCTCCATTAGAGCACCTAGATGGATCTCAGAAGGCATAGGTCAAGTCGCAGTTAGATCATACATTTCTTTCTCACAAAAACTTGAATTGCAATGCCAAGTGATGGGCTAACATCACAATAACAGCAATTTATTCCTCTTTGGATAAAACAGCAGTCTATTCTCAGTGCTAGATAAAGACCAGGGCAATGCAAACCAGCCATTTAGCTGAGTAGTTCAGCTAGTGGCAGCTCTCCTTTGGTGACTGTATAGGTTGCACACTGGCTTCATATTTTCTTGTTTAAAAATTAGAATTTGGAATGTTTTAAGAGGTAACTCAAGTAGTTCCATTTATCCTGATGAAAATACAGAAAAAAAAAAATGATTTCTTCTGTAAAACCTGTAACTAAATCTGTCAAAGGAAGCCCATCTCTGTAGTGGCACCTAAGATGATCTATTTTTTTTTCCCCTCCTTAAATGTAGAACAGCAGGCTCAGGCCCTTGAGAATATTTCTTTTTTTTTCCTCTCTCTCATTGGCAAGAATTCAATTTGCATTTGTGTGTTGTGAATATAGAAACCCAGGGCTTATTTCTCTGGGAGAAATTGTATTTTATTTATTTACTTTTTTATTATTTATTTTTTAGGTGTAGATGGGCACAACACAGTGCCTTTATTTTTATGTGGTGCTGAGGATGGAACCCAGGTCCCGCCTGTGCTAGGCGAGGGTTCCACCGCTTAGCCACAATCCCAGCCCCGAGAAATAGTATTTTAAAAAGTAAACTAGTCATGTATTTAAAATATATATATCTGAGCCGGGCATGGTGGGGGCATACCCGTAATCCCAGCAGCTGGGGAGGGTGAAACATGAGGATCACAAGTTCAAAGCCAGCCTCAGCAAAAAGCTAGGTGCTAAGCAACTCAGTGAGACCCTGTCTCTAAATAAAATGCAAAATGGGGCTGGGGATGTGGCTCAGTGATTGAGTGCCCCTGAATTCAATCCTTTGTGCAAAAAAAAAAAAAAAAAAATACAAAAAAGCAGCTTTTTTTTTTTTGTACCAAGAGATACCTAGCAAAGAAGTATACTTAGCTTCATGTAATTAAAACCTAGAGAATATCTTGTCAAATGTTTACCATTTTGTTAAGTCAGTTCTTTGTGGAATTCTCACTGGAAATATCTCTAGTCTAGGTCTTTAAAAGTTTATTTTAAAAAAACTATTGTCATATATTATTGAATAATTACAAAGTGTTTTTATTTCTCACATTTTAATAGAATGTTGATGTTAAGAAAGAAAAATATGACAGCTGTAAAAAGTTTATCCACTTACATTTCTTTTGAACTTTGTGATTACTCCTATGCATCAGTATTGGGTTATATAATTGCAAATGAAGTGGCCCATTCCATTACTGTCCATGTAATTATACGTGTGTTTGTTTCAAAAGGAAGCCTACCTACGTAGGAACCCATAAGTATAATGATGATATTCCTCTTCTTTGTGTGTCTTTATCTTCTGATAAAATTCATGGTTTTCCTTTGTCCTACTAAGTAGCTTTGATTGGGAGTAAGAATGTTCCTGATATCGCCCATGGGCAGTTCCAATACAGTGATATGAACAGCCACATACAAGTTGGTTATAAGAAATATATTTTATTTTATAGCAAGACATATGCTGTGAATTGGGATAAAAATGCTAGAAAAGACTACCTAAGAGGTTGATGCTATTTTGTATAAATTGTGTATTTTGTTGGCTTTTTGACTGAGCATGAAAATGTAACTTCCATTAGGGAAGGGTAATTTAGGTGCTCAGTATTCAGCAGAAAACTTGTCGGGGCCATAAAAGCTTTTCTGGCTGGTTCCTCGGGTGTTTTCAGAGGAGAGCTGCCCGCCCCTTGCTGATTTTCCCTTTGGCTTCAGTATGGGCTGAATTTACCACTGCATACCTGTTGAATCAATTTGGGGGATCCAGCAGTTAACTGAGTGAAAGGAAGGATTAGTGGCCCTCTGGAGCCCTATTTCAACAGCCAGGTGTCTGTCCTAAACTAGTTAACTGCTTTTGACAGTTGAAGAACCTGGTTTTATTGCCATGGGCAGCAGGTAGTCGTGGTTTGTTTTTGTTTTTATTTTGCCTTCTCTCCACTACCAAGTAGGGCATACCTTATTTTAAGGGTTAGGTGTTTTAATAGGAGTGGACTGTTGTCTTCCTTCAACCCAGCTTCCATAGATTTTGTCCTTGTGCTTAGTCAGCATTTGATTTGTGCTCCATGTATGCCAGACACTTGGGTAGCATTGTTTGGCAAGACCCTTTCACTGAAGTCTGGAGGGAGAGGCAGGATGCCCACACAGGGGCGGGAGTCAAAGTATATGGAGACACACACACATACATACCCACTCACAGGAACACTGGGCAGTTAGCCCTGAGTCCTGGGCTCTAGTTCCCAGATTCCAGGTAACCCCCACCCAGATCAAAAATCTCCTGACTTCAGACTGCATGAAACATCATAATTATGCTGAGTGTATTTTATAGAGAAAGGATGTATTTGAAAGACTGATTTTAGGCAGAGCAAATATTTTTCTCTAAGTGGACTGTTTCCAAATTAGGAAGGAGCCCATTGGTGCTTAACAAACCAGTAGGCCTGAAACAACACTTTCAATTCTCAGATTTCATTTCAACCAGAGACCACTGCCCTGGCTGTGGCTAAACGCTCACTGTTCTCTGCCCTGGAAGTCCGTGCATTTGGAGTCTGTATTTGCTTTTTTTGTCTCCCTGACTTTTCAATTAATACATTTTTTAAATAGATAAAACAGATCATACTGTGACTTTTAAAATGTCAACAAGCTTGTAAACAGAAATGTAATAAAATGGCTAATAGGAGATTCAATAGTTAATGGAGGGCCTGAAGTGTGAGCAAATACAGTAGCTGTATATTGGAAACTGTGCGAGTGAAGATGGCTTTAGTATTGCAAACTGAGGAAGAAAATTGTTTTTAATTAGCACCTTCATAAGAACTGCTGATTAATACTGTTTTGTTTGGTGAAAAGCTTTCAGCTGAGTAATTTGTACAGCCATTACAACAGTTTTGTTAGAGCGGGACTCCTGTTGTTAAACACAAACAGCAGATGATAATGGTGGAAGATGAGTTTGTCATGTAACAATTTACCTTATTGAAAAAAGCTTTATATAAAACCCAATACAGTAGGTACCAGCAGAAATCACATATTTTAAATCCTTCCAAAATTGCAGTGTGCCATGCTTGTGGGTTTTTTTTTTCCCAGGGACTAGAAGCAGATTTTATATCATTTATAAAATTATATACACAATTTAAAGGTGGTGTAGCATGGACAGACCACTTTCTCAGCAGCGGTTTACATTGGAGCAGTAAAGTGGCCATGTATTCAAACACTTTCTAACTACACAAAGCAGGCTGACAAATGGAAGCCTAATTAAATAATGTTACTCAGATGTAAATTTGCATTGGAACTGGATGCAGGGAAATAAGAATTGATGTTTTTGCTTGAGGTGGGTTTATCACACATAGGATCTGTTTTTTTAAAAAAAAAATCTCAACGGAAGTTTAATTAACCTTTTTTTTTTTTTCCTGGCGATGTTTTAACCTACCAGAGGAAACAGTGCCCATTCAATGAGACCTGACCAGGGAATAAGAGGCACATTTCCGTGAACTCCCATCAAACAGATATTTCACTAGCCAGAAGCATGGGAACTATTTTTTTTTAATACAATGCAATGGTAAAGCATATTTGCATTAAAATATTACACTACCCAAGGCTGGTAAGAACTGAAAATTATTGTAGTGGCGTAATAGAGCATGATTTTTTTTTTTTTTTTTTTAGACAGGCCTTCGGGGTAATAACCAGGGTTGAGGCTCACGACAGTGCCAAATAAGCTTTAGACAGCATAATAGTCTTCAAAGAAAGCCACAGAGCACTAATGTGAAGGAAGAGCTGTCCACCACATGCAGCAAAAATCACCAAAGGTCATTTTATGGTAGCAATTGTGACATAAAATTGGTGGTCATGCTACATGTCTAATACTCAGCACAGCTTTATAAATGATGGGCCCCTAGCGATGGCTGTCATTAAGTGCTTTCATCATAATAAACTTTAAACTGTTGGCTTTATGAATCGCCAGCTAGCTTC